GTGTGTGTGTGTTACAGAGGGAGGACGTGGAAGTCAGACAGGCAGCTTTCAGGAAACAAAAGCAATGAGATGGTGAGGGAGATGGAAGGCCGAAGGTGCTAAGCGGAGGTGTCACTTTGCCACTGATTCTTCCTGTGTCAGTGAGAGAGACAGAGGGTGAGAAGGAGATCTGTCTGCTGCAGATCAGTCCCCGGCAGCAGAGGCCAGTCAGCACTGACAGGCAACACTGTGTGTTGGTGGCTGGAGTGATTGTTATTTATTCATTATTCTAATCTTTCAGCGCAGGAAGCCACAGTCTGACATTAAGTGAAATATAGGAAGCCATGCAGGAAATCTGTCTTCAAAAAAATATATTGATTGTAATTTGAGGAATGCGTCAGAGACTGTTTGTTGGCATTTTCTGAATCTTTGTGTTGCAGACATAACCTTCTAAAAAATAGAAAGAAAACAAAAACAGTGACCTTTGATATGTAGCCGTGGAAGTAAGAAAGAGCATCCAAAATTTAGAGGTGTTAAACGCTCAGTGAGGTAACCACCCACAGAACACTTTTATTTACTTTCATTTCTGTAATATAAATAACTTTAACTAAAAAGCCAGTCTTCTAGTTTGTTATCTATCATAAATTCTTTATGAGTCAAAAGGGTGTCTTTTTACTTTTGAGCCTGATCATGCCAAAAAAAATCACTGTCACCCTGGTAACTACCAGCTCGATGGTCCCTGACCTGAGAATAATCAATATGAATTCACTTAAGGGCAAAATCCAATTTTGTTGAAAGCTCGTCAAAACTGTAGCCACCATTTTCTTTCACCTGCCTTTAATTCTCTGTGGTATGAAATAAAAATGTGTTTTAACCAACTTTAGGAATTTTTAAGATAGATAAAGGTTTTGTTTATAAAGCTTCTAATTCTCAAAGATTTTTTCATCTGCGTGGTGTGGACGTAGCTCTGAGTCTGAAAAGTGAACCCAGGGAAGACTTACTTTAAATCTGCAATCTTTTTAGAAGTCACCAGGGGGCGACTCCTCTGGTTGCAAACTTGACATCCAGCTGTGTAGTCTGTGGGGATCCTTGTCTCTCTTGCTCTGCAACATCAGAAAACACTGATGAGTTTATCGGCTCTGTCACTAGTGTAATGTCTTAATGAGTAAAATATTAAGTTAATTTTGTAAAATTATTGTCATTGTCACAGTTAGAAAGCAAAATTATCAAGGTATGTCAGGGATGTGTGGTGTCTTCAGCTTCACAGTCATTTGCACCACTTTCTCTTCCCTTCTGGTTTAAAAACACTGGGATGGAAAAACACACGGAAAAGTCTTGTTATGAAGCCTCAGTGGGTGACTTCATAGTAGCTGCTTTAATCTTTTATATACAGGTCTGGGAACATTTGGAAAGAACCTAAAAACTGTCATCACACTTTGATTAAAACGTGGGAAAATCCTTGTTGATACTTGGAATATTGAGACATCATTCACGAGAGATATGTTTGACATATGTTTAACAGATTATAAGCCAATAAATCATCTATTAACGGTTAAATACCGACATTATTTTTATTGTACAAACGGATGAGTCCGATGGGAAAGTACAAACTACATCCAGAACAGAAACAACTTTGTTATGCTCAAACACAACTTCAGCTCTTTGGAAACATCTGCGCAGATCATATTTAGGTACATTAGTAACATATCATTAATGCTGCAATCCTGAACAGGTTGGAATTCAGAGATTTTGAGTTCCCAGTTGTAAATGTTTTGTGGAACGTCCCCAACAATCCAAGATGGTGGCACTAAATGTAAACAGTGCTAATACTTTAAACTTTTAATTTGTACAGCCACTGTTGTGTATTTGTGACTCGTCAAATAAGGCATACACAGAACACTGACCAGGCT